TTAAGTGACTTGCCCGGGTACACAGCTAATGAGTGTCTGAGATCGGATTTGAACTCAGGTCCTTGTGACTTCAGGGCTGCTGCTCTATCCACTGTGTCACCTAGCTGCCCCTGCAATAGTATTTTAGCTGAATTCCCTGCATCCTCCCCCTTCAATCTTTCCTACACACTAATTCCAAAATAATCTTTCCAAAATGCTGCTCTCATCATTGTCCCTTCTTTGCCCATTGTTAAACATGATGAATTGGGAGCAGCACTGTTCTTTGTATCTCAAGGCCTCTTATAGTGTAAATAACCATAGGATTTCATTTCCTATGCAGCTTCAGCTAGCAAGTGTGGTATTATCACAGGTGAGGATTGTAGTGGGGGAATGCTTTTCAAGGAGGAGGCTTAAAAAAACATGGCTGCTGGAGTCATGTGGGTGGCATGAACAAGAAAAAAGAAGGAAAAAGACCTGGAAACAGGATAGCTTAAATGAACCTGGCAGTGGTGTGGCCATGGTGTTTCCAAAACCAGGAACCACAATGGGCCCTAATGACTCCAGAACTGAAGTGAGATGTTTCATCCCTTTTCCAGACTGTCCCAAGATGCTCTTGCAAAGACCTCCAGGAAGCAAATGGCATCACATCCAAAGCATTTATCACTGGGGCCATGAGTCCTGGAGCCACTGGAGCCCTCTCCATTATACTGAGGAATCAAAGCTATTAAAGGAGAATCAGATTATAACTCTTCTGGATATTCAGGACATTGCACTTGTTCATGTATAGATGCCAAGTATGGGTTTACTATTTGATTTCTCTTCTCTTTTATTTTTTCATGTTTTAATTAAACACTTTTGCTTTTGGAATTATATGTCTATTACATCATCTGGCAATAGGGAATTGATGGTTGGGGGCTTGGTACTCAAGCTGCTGAAATGATTATTTCAAAATAGTCATATTCTGCCTAAGACGATTCAAGAGATTCAAGAACCATAATGTGGGGAAGATGGGCTATGCTACAAGTCCACCTTCCATCTTTCATCCAGAATTCCTGGGCTCCTTTTATACCTGTCACCAAATAGAGATCCAGATGAGGACTCCTTTTTGTCTTGCACGCTGTGGATCCAGTTTTGTGGCTATTACCAGGTCCCTTCTGTCCCTTCTCCTACACAGGTGGGCAAAAGCCAAGAGTCAGATCTTACCAACTGGTGTAGAGACCCTATACAGACAGGCTTGAGGACTTGGCTCTTCAAGACCTTTCTACTGAAAGATTATTACTACTTGTCTCATTTCCAGTATTTTATTTCTTTCCTAGATTCTGACCTTATACAATCCTACCCTCCCTTGCTGATATTTGCAGTCAGTGCATCTTCCTAATTCACATGGTTTTCCTTTCCTGAAGTTGCCATTATCTCTCTGTGGAGTCTCTAAAGTGTTAATGGTCTTTTCCAACCCTAAAATTCTATCATTCTATTAATTAATGAGGAATCAATTAATGATAAATTATGCGATATGTGCTATAAGTACTATAAGAATTCAGAGAAGGAGAACAGTATGATCAGCAGTAGTAATAATATCTCACATTTTTAAAGTACTTTAAGGTTTCTAAAGCACTTTGCTCACAACAACCCTGTAACATATGTAGGACAACTTCTATTTAGGATCGCAGGTTTAGAGCTGGAAGTGGTTATAAAGTCATAGGATTATAACATCACAGCTCCATGGAGTTGTAAGGGACCTGAAAGACCATCTAGTCCAAACTCATTTTACAAATGAGAAAACTGAGGTCTGGAAAGATTGATTGATTTTCCCAAGGTGATACAGGTAGAGATTCAAACCCAGGTCCTCTAACTTGAGCCAGAGCTCTTTCCACTTTACCATGTGCGGGCATACATACCTCAGAAATATTTTAGGTTCAGTTCCAGACCACAACAACAAAGCAAATAATGCAATACAGCATGTCGCAATTTTTTTTGGTTTCCCAGTACTGGGAACCACACTTAAGACGTGGGTAACCTTGGATGAATTACTTAAACTCCCTGAATGAGCTTCAGTTTCTTCTTATGTAAAATGTGGATAATGAAACATGAATTAGCTAATATCTCACAGATTGTTGTGAGGAAAACCCTTTGTAAATCTTAGAGTACTCTCTACATGTGACCTATGACATGCTGTATTGCATTATTTGTTTATACTATGCAGTATGTGTTTATACTATGCAGTATTTGTTTGTACTATGCATTACATGTTTGTATTATGCAGTAGTCTGTTAAGTGTGCAATAGTATTATGTCCAAAAAGTATGCATATCTTAATTTTAAAATACTTTCTTGCCAAAAAAATGTTAACCATCATCTGAGCCTTCAGCAAGTCATAATCTTTTTGCAGGTGGAGCATCTTGCTTTGATGTTGATGGCTGCTAACTGAGCAGGGTGGTGGCCACTAAAGATTTGGGTGGTTACGGCATTTTCTTAAAATACAAAAAAAAGATACTTAAAATACAAAAAAAAATACTTAAAAAACAAAAAAAAAATGAAATTTGCCACATTGATTGACTCTTCCTTTTACTTGAACACTTAGAGGCCAATGTAAGGTTCTTGATTGGCCTCATTTCAATACTGCTGTGTCTCGGGGAATAGGGAGGCCCGAGGAGAGGGAGAGAGACAGAGGAATGGCCTATTGGTAGAGCAGTCAGAACACACAACATTTATCAACTAAGTTCACTGTCTTATATAAGTTTGTGGCACCCCAAAACAGTTATAATAACAAGATCAAAGATCACTGATCACAGATCATCATAACAGATATAATAATAATGAAAAAGTTTGAAATATTGTGAATATTACCAAACATGACCCAAAGACATAATGTGAGCACATGCTGTTGGAAAAATGACTCCATTAGACTTGCTTGATGCAGGGTTTCCACAATGACTTCAATTTGTAAAAAAAAAGAACAAAAACAAAAACAAAAACACGGTATCTTCCAACTGTCATAAAGTGAAGCCAATAAAATCAGGTATGCCTATATTTTTATTCTCATTTGGCAAATGAGGAAACTGAGGCTGAGGAAAGTTAAATGATTTACCCAGGGTCACAGAGCTGGTAAGTAATAGAGCCAGGATAGGAATCTAGGGTTCCTTACTTCAAGTCCCGTACTCTTTCCACTAGAGCAGTTGGGAAAGAGCTCATAGTAGATATAAGATTTGAGCTGGTCCTCCAAAGATGGATAAGATTTAGATGAGAAGAGAGGAAGAAACATAAGAGGTAGGTAGTATCATGAGCAAAGGTGCAAAGCTGGGAATGAACATGTTATATTGATGGTGAGGAGGAAATGATTAGAAAATCAATCAGACTATATTCAATTCAACTCAACAATTCAGCAGATCAATTCAGCAGTCCCTAATGTAGGTCAAGTGGTGTGCTAGGCACTGGAGATAAAAGAACAAAAATGAAACACTTCCGATATTCCATTGACCTGAGTAGTGGGAAGCAGTGAGGGACTGAGCTGGAGAACTAGCAGTCACTGGCATCTGAAGAACACTGGTCTAACAGTCAGAAGACACAAATGAAACCAGACTTAAGACGTGTGTAACCCTGGATGAATTACTTAAACTCCCTGAATGAGCTTCAGTTTCTTCTTATGTAAAATGTGGATAATGAAACATGAAGTAGCTAATATCTCACAGATTGTTGTGAGGAAAACTCTTTGTAAATCTTAGAGTACTCTCTACATGTGACCTATGACTATTTTGTAAGCACAACATCTTGAGCACACGAGGTCCTAGGGCCTAGGCTATATCCATTAGGGTCTGAGGAAAAATGGTGCCCAAGATGGTAGAGGTGGTTTGAATTGCCTGGCACATACATACTGCCTCTTATCTCTCCTTCAGGGTGCTCAGCTGCTCCAGCTAGCCTGACAATTCATCAGCATTTGGTGGGAATGGCTAGCCCCTTCACAGGAGATGTTGTTAAATGTTAGAGACATGATTTCTCATAGTGTTTTGCCTAGTTCTCCTTTTTGAACACTACTCTACACTTACCTGTGTATGTGTTGTACTCCTCTTTGTGGAATATAAGTCCCTAAAGGGCAGTACCATTTTTTTCAATGTTTCATGTACAGTGTTTCACAAAGTGATTTGATTTAAATCCTCACAGGCAAGGATAATGTATTCTCCCCACAACCCCCACAATGACTAACAAAATGAAAGGCAATGTGAAGTGGTGGGATTTGGCAGCACAATACGTGGGTTTGAGTACCAGATCTATTGCTAATATATCATAAATATTAAGCAATATTACAACTTAGTATTACTCAGCATCTATTTCATCAAGAAAATAACACCTGCCAGGAACAGTGCTAATCACTGGAGATTAAAAAAAAAAGGCTAAAATAGGCCCTGCCCTCAACCCTTGGCTATCTCACCTGGTGGCTATACTCTTATTCTTATTAAAAGTCAATACTTCCTGGCAGCTAGGTGGTGCAGTGGATAGAGCTCCAGCCTTGGAGTCAGGAGGACCTGTGTTCAAATCCAGTCTCAGACACTTGACACCTACTAGCTGTGTGACTCTGTGCAAGTCACTTAACCCTGATTGTCTCACCAAAAAGCAAAAAAAAAAAAAAATCAACACTGCTTGATTAATTGGGCATGCCCTAACTAGAGGCAATATAATGTGCTGGAGCGAAAACTCAGGACAGTCAAGTTCTAGATTCTAGTCCTAGATCAGCTACTAACTAGTTATGTGACCTTGGGTTAGTCATTTCCTTCTCTGGGCTTCAGTTTCATCAGCCCTAAAATAAAAGAGCTGGCACCTGGTACAGTGGAAAAGACTACTGCATTTGGAGTCAAAGGACCTGGGATGTGAATCCTGATTCTGCCACTGCCCACCTGTGTTTTCTTGGGCAAGTCTCTTAATGTCTCTGGGCCTTATCCCTTAAATGAGGGGGTTGGATTAGATAGTCTAGAAGACCAAGGTCCCCTGCACCTCTGTCATGTCATGGTTTCATGATTCTACTTTCAGGTGGAGTATCTTTAATTCAGGATTTCGACGGAAGCATGGAAGCTGTGATTCCTTAATCGCTAAGACCCACTCTGGCCTGATGCAACACCTGCTCTGCCCCATCTGCGGCAAGCTGCGGCTGCACTCCTATATTTTACCCTGTGGACACTCCGTCTGTGAGAAGTGCCTGAAGAGGATCCAGGCTACAGCTGACGTCACTGAGTGCTTCTTCATCTTCAACTGCCCGATCTGTCAGCGCTCCCACTGCCTGCCCAACAATAAGGTGGTGATGCCTGAGAACTATTTGCGGAGCCGCCTCACCAGGCGCTACATGCAGCAAAACAACTTCCTCACCTGGCGCTTTGACAGGGCTTTGAATCCCGCCTACTGCCAGGTGTGCAGGGAGTACAGGTTGGCTTATAAACACTGCGTCGCCTGCCGCATGAATCTCTGTGTCGATTGTCTCAGGAACGTCCACTCGGACCTGTTAATGCAGGACCACCTTTTCATTGACGCCACTAGCCAGGAACAGGAGAAGTTCTGCTTTTATCACCCGAACAACAAGATCATTGAGTACTGTCGGAACGACCATGAGCTGCTCTGTCAAATCTGCAAGTGCATTCACCACGATGGCCACGAAATCATTAGTTTAGTGGACGCCTGCTCCGAGCTCTCTGCAGCTCTCTTCAGCGCCATTGCCAATTTCAAATCAGGTTGGAAGTTTTGTTTGCCCGCCTGTACCCCCCCTTCCCAAATGGGGCCTTGGGTGGGGTATCTGCATTAAGAAAACACAGGGGCAGCATGGCATAGGAAATAGGGCTTCCCTGGATTTGGAGTCTAGGAAGAGCTGAGTTCAAATCCTAGGTCAGATGCGTATTAGCTTTGTGACTCTGGGCAAGTCACTTCTCTGCTAAGTTTCCTCAGTTTCCTCATCTAATAAAATGAAGGAGTTGGGACTTTGATGGCATCTAAGGCCCCCTCCAACTCTAAAGCTGTGATCCTATGGTTACTGTCCCTGGGTATGTTACAGTCCCCAAGGGCTGGGAACATAGCAAATCTTCAATTAAAAAAACTTCAGTGATTCCCTGTCCCACTGTTCTACTATGTGGGCTCTGGCCCTCATAGAGCTTACAGGGAAGGCTCTGTACAGAGAGAAAAGGAACCAAGGATTGCCTTTGAAAATGCCTGAGGCAAAGAGATAGCAGCCATACTTACAGATGGCCAATATCTACTTGTAGAGTGAATCAGTCATGCAGATATTTCACAACATTCAGGCAACTGGAATGTAGATGAAATGGTTTTCTAATTACCAATTTTTTTAAAAGCAGGTGTCTAGACCAACAGGTCACTGTCATTAACAATCAATACTCAACAGGCATTTATCATGTGCTTACCATGTGCCAGCACTGTGCTGGAGATATAAAGAAAGGCAAGAACAATCCCTACCCTCAAGGAGCTCATAATCTAATGAGGGAGACAACATGAAAATAACTAAGTACATATAAGGCGGGAAACCATATATTGTAACATCTACTATGTGCCAGTCCCTGTGCTAAGCACTTTCACAAATATTATCTCATTTGGTACCCACTACAAACATGAAAGGTAGGTGCCATTATTATCCCCATTTTACAGTTGAAGAAACTGAAGGAAACAGAGTCCAAGTGATTTACCCGGGGTCAAATAACTAGTCAGTGTCTGATACCGGATTTGAACTCATGACTCTAGGCTCAGTGCTGTAGCCACCCAGCCACCTATATAAGATACATAAAGGGTAAATTGGAGATGCTCTCAGAGGAAAGGTCAGAAGAGACCCACAGAGACTTTGAACAGAAGGTGGGTCTTTAGCTACAAGAAGCCAGGAGGCAGAGATGAATGAGGAGGGAGAGCATTCCTGAAATGGGGGATAGCTAGTAAAATGATGCAGAGTTTGAATATGGAGAATGGTGTGTAAGGAACAGCAAGTAGGTCAACGTCATGGTATTGGAGAGTGTGTGCAGGGGAGGAAAATGTTAGAAGGCAGAAAAGATAGGGAGGAGCCAGATAATGAATGGCCTGAAAAGAAAAACAGAGGGATGTATGTCTATTATATCTTGGAGATAGCAGGAAGTTACTGGCGCAACAAGCAAGATGGTGGGGAAGGTGATAAAGGATGATGAACAGGGAACTGGATTTGAAGTCAGAGGACCTCCATTTGAATCCTGATTGTACTTAACCACCTGTGTGACCTTGGCAAGTTACTGATCCTTGCTGGACCTCAGTTTCCCTATCTGTAAAAGGAAAGGGTTGGACTAGATTGCCTCTAAGGTCCCTTTCAGCTCTAAGCAGGTGATCCTATGATTTGGTTCTAGGAAAACATAAAATTAATTGCCTTAAAAATGGAGAATAGCCATGAAAGATTTAATATCCTCCTTAACAGGTAGGTGATTCAGTGGATAAAGCACTGGATGTGGAGTTAGAGAGACTGGAATTCAAATCCTGCCTCATTTATAATCTCTGTGACCCTGCTCAAGTCACTTCACCTCTACCTCACCTTCCTCATCTGTAAAATGGGGATAATAACAACAGTACCTACCTCTGGGGTTATGAGGATCAAATGAGGTAATATTTGTAAAGGGTTTTGCAAACCTTAGAGTGCCATATAAATGTTAGCTATTATTATCATTATTGTCACATCTTCCTTTGCACCTCCACCTCAAAGACCCAACCTTTTTTTGTGTAATAGAAAGAATTTTTGACTAGGAAGGAGTCAGGGAGAACCTGTATTTTAATTCTGCATACAAACCTCAATAGCCCTCAGACCACACACAAGTCACTTAAACTTTATGAGCTTCAGTGTCCTCATCTATTCAATAGAAATAGCCCATACTTTACAGGGTTGGAGTCAGGATAAAATGAGATATTGTATGCAAAGTATTTTGCAGACCTCAAAGCACTATATAAACTTCAGCTAGAATTATCTTAATACATATGGCCAGGGCCAGGTTTGTCCATAAACAAAAATTTGAAGGAGCCCTGGAGAGTTGCTTTGCCCCAAAACACCTTCCCCCTGAAATTCTTCCCTTTGTCACATAGACTGAAATTCTGCCAAAGTAACTCTTCATGGCTTTATTCGAGGTTTTCTTGCGAAGATACTAAAGTGGTTTGCCATTTCCTTCTCCAGCTCATTTTACAGGTGAGGAAACTGAGGCAAACAGGGTTAAGTGACTTGCTCAGGGTCACACAGCTACTAAGTGTCTGAAGCCCAATCTGAACTCAGGTCTTCCTGACTCCAGGCCTGGTGCTCTATCCACTGTACTACCTAGCTGCCCATGATATATAATCATATCACATCATTAAATATAATTGAAATAATAAGTTAGTCTCCTCTTTTTAAATGCCATTATCCCTGGAAGACTTAGTCCCATTAGCCATTCACTCCTCAGTGTGAATTTGACTCCTGTTTCTTTTCCTCCCAACACTGGAGGTCAGTTGAATAGAAAAAATGGGAGTTTTGATTGGGGAGGAGAGAAAGAAAGGTCTGGGCACTAAAGTGAAAATTGCTGGGGCATTGCAATGAGAATCTCTGGGCACTATCAGAGTGCATAGTAGAAAGAAGTCTCTGGAGGGAATAAAGAAATAGATAGGTAAGAAGATACCAAAACCAGACTTGGTTACTCCAGAAATTTCACTCCAAATCCAGTGCTCCATTTCACCAGTGTTCATTACGAGCTATAGATATACTCTACTTTGCCTAGTAGCTGTGCTCCTGAAAAAATAAATGACAAATAAAAAGCCCTCAAATGAATTATTTTAAATCCAACAGGAAAGTTATTGTTTAAAGGAAACCACAGTAAATACTTAAGTAAAATGCAAATAACCACAGTCTCCTTTACTGGTTTTTGTGAATCACTTCATCTGTCTAAACTCTGAATGTTTTCCCATCAGAATAACAGGGACTATCATACTTTGAACTACCTTCCTCAGAGTGTCAAATGAGTTAGGGTAGGTCAAAGGCCTTTGTAAATTAAGGTCTAAAGTTCAGTCAGTAATTATTTAATTGATTTCAAGTAGTGCAAGTGATAACAGTTTTGAAAGATGACCTACCTGCCCCTATAATGGTCTAATCACTTGAGGAAGTTTTCTCTAGGGAGGCAGCTTTGTAGTGGGAAAAATCAATTCCTAAATTGGCATAGAAGGTTAGTATAGAGGAGAGCTCAATTCTGTGCTCAATTCAATTAAACAAACATTTAAGAATGCACTATGTGTAAAGGAACTGCTAGGTTTTCTGTAACTTTTAAGTTATTGTTGTTTTGGCAAAAAAAAAAAACAACTGACTTTTATGGAGTCTAAAAGCAGTGATTTAGAAAACATCAATTAAAATAGTCTGTCTTATTAACCTAATATAGAATTTTAAAAATTCATTTTATCCTTTGTTAGTTTCCTAGCAAGTCAATCAAAATTAATGGATTTTTTTCATTTATTTGCTTCTACTATCTTGTTGTCCCGGTCAATTTTTTTAACTCATCAAAAGTGGTTTGGGCTCTTGGAATAACTTCATTCAATATTAAGCCCAAACCAATTCTATCTCTATGGTAATATGTCTTATTTGACAATCTGAAAAATGACTGCTCTATTTGCAAATGGGATAATTTTGCTTATGAGCTAGAGCAGAATGAAAAGACTGGTTTTTGTACTGGCATTTTAGTTACAAGCCCATCATAATTTTCTTTTGAGATAACATTTACTAATTTAAAGGGCCAGCTTTAGCATATATAGATGAAGTAAGCAGCCACCAACATCATATAATTTCAGTGGTACCAGGGAAGCCACACCTCCCCTCCCTAAAGATTTAAAATTTCTAGAAAACAATATGCCATGAGTTAACATGTATACATACATATATATGCATATATTCATACTCACAGGTCTTTGTAGAGATGAGAAATTAAAATCTAGGGGAACCCAAATCTATGCAATCAATGCTTTCCTTTTTATAACATCTCTTATGCTAAAGGCGTTTTGTTACTTTATGAATATAAAGATCTTTAATTTCTTTTTGCTCAAATATTTATTAAACATGTTGACCATTTAGAAACTATAGCACTAGATTTTAGCTCTAAAAAGTATCTTAGAAATCATCCCAGGGGCAGCTAGGTGGCTCAGTGGATAGAGCACTGATCCTAGATTCTTGAGGACCTGAGTTCAAATCTGGCCTCAGACACATAACACTTACTAGCTATGTGACCCTGGGCAAGTGACTTAACCCCATTACCTAACCAAAAAAAAAAAAACCAAAAACAAAAAAAACCAAAAAGAAATCATCTCATCCAACCTCTCCATTTTATAGTTAATAAAACTGAGGCCCAGAGGGATGAAATGACATGATTTATCCGAGGCCAAACAGTAAGTATCAGAGTTGGAATTTGAATCAATGTCTTCCAAGTCCAGTTTAGGACTCCTTCCATTATACTTTAGGAGGCCAGAAAAAATATGGGTTACAGGAACACTTTTTCCTGATTTTCCTTTGTTGGTAGGTGGAAAAGACACAAAAATGACTTATAAATGACTTATTTCTGTCACAAGCATACACATGCATGCACAAATACATACACACACACACACGCGCGCACACACACACACACACACACACACACACACACCAGCCTGAAAAAACCCTCCCCAACTTTCTGGCAGTGGTTTCCATATCTACCTCTACCTCACCCCCAACCAGAACAACCTTGTGAGTGAATTCTAGCTAAGATGTTGATGACTAAGGCAGCTTGGTTTAGTGAAAAGAGTGCCCAATTTGGAGCCAGAGGATCTGGGTGTGAATCTGGATTCCGGCACTTATTTATGTGACCTTGGACAGGTCATTTAGCTTTTCTAAGCCAGAGTTTCTCCATCTTTAAATTAGGGAGGCTGGATTGGATGACCTTCAAGGTCCTTCCTAATTCTAAACCTATGATCCCACCCTATAGTAACAGATGATTTCTTAAAAACAGCAGAACTGGGAAAAACAAAAGTGCAGGTGGAAGAATAAGAATGCAGAGAAACTTGGGGGTGGGGTACAAAAGAAACCAGCAAATTCACAATTTTGCTAAGGGCCAACCAAATCTGTCAAGAAAATAGGTCTTGTAGTGATTAATTTCTTGTGGTGATTAATTTCCTGGTAGGTGTGGATGTTATTGCATTATGATTTTTTTTTCCTTTTCCCCCGCAAAAGCTTAACTCGGAATAGTTAGATAGCTGTCTCTAAAAACAGACAGGAATATCCCAAGGGGTTACTCTACAAATCCCACAAGTATTTTGATATAAGTGAAGTATAGTTAAAATGATTGTCAAGGGAAGTCTTGATCATGGGGGACAGCCCACTCTTAAGATTTCCAACTTATTGTCCCCATTTTATAGATAATGAAATTGAAGCCTAGGGAGGTTAAGTGACTTTTCCTATGAGGTGGTGGAGTGTGTTATTATATTCATTTTACAGATGAGAAAACTGAGGCTCAGATGAGTTAAATGGTCACACAGTTCATTAAGGTGAGTTGGAATTTTAATTCAAGTCTCTTGACTCCACTTCCATTTCCTTTTCTGATTGACTACTACAAGGAGAAAGTGTCACAAAGGAGCAGTAAGCATCCTGAAGGAATTTAACAGGGGTGTGTGGTGGGAGAGAGTTATAGAACAAATTCCAAATTGTATTTTACTCACTGATGCTAAGTGGTGTTTTAGAAATTTGATGCAAGTGGCAAGAGCAATTGCCCTGACTGACTGTAGTCTTGGGGATACCTCCTAAATCAGGAAAGGTTAAAAAGTATTTAACCTGAAGTTGAAGTAACTGCCTCATGTTGTTTTTCAGTTCGATATGAGATTGATAATGACCTGATAGAATTCAATATTTTAAAGAATGGCGTTAAAGTCAACAAAGAGGCAAAAAGGAAAGCAGTCCGAGGCGGATTCGTAAGACTGAGGCATATTCTTCAAGAAAAGGAGAAATCCCTCATGGAGCAACTGGAGAATTTGGAAGGATGCAGGCAGAAGGAAATTGAAAAATATGTGTGCACCACAACTCTTAGAGTTAAGGAAATGGATGGACTTATTGAGTTTTGTAAAGAAGCTTTGAAAGAGACAGGTCAGGTGGCATTTCTACAGTCTGCTAAGTCTTTGGTAAATCAAATAGAGGAGGGGATCCAAAATACGTATCGGCCTGATCCACAGCTTAAGGTGGACTGCATGGAGGCCCTTCACCTGAATTTCACGGATTTAGCAAATGGATTACATGCCCTTTTCCCTGTCCAGCAACAGAAAGAGTCATCCTCTGGTGATTATTCACCCAATCCTTATCCTGTGCATTCTGAAATGATGATTACTCGAAAAGTCACCTTCAGTACGCAAAATTTTAGCAATCAACAAATGTTTCAACACAGCTACTCTTCACAGTCTCTCCCGGGATCTCCCTGTGAGAAGGGTAGAACAAACATTGAAATATATGGAAGAACACAATCCATCTCCACTCCCAGGAACACTGAAGGGTTCTTTACCTACTGGGTGGCACCTACCGAAGGCCAGACTTTTTGGTCTACTCCAGAAGGTACAAAAGTCCAGACCTACAGCAGCTTCCACAACTGGTATATCCCCAACGAAAGGAATTTGAAAGTTCCAGGGCTCATTGTCATCTACCAGACACTGGTATACCCAAGAGCTGCCAAAGTAAGTCTTTTCTCTATTGCATTTTACAAGAGGTTAGTGTTGGGGCAGGATGAAGGAGTCATGGATATGCTTACACAGGTTGATAGGAAAAGTGGTTGGGACTTCTCTATACTGAGCACAAAGTCTTTTCTCCAAAGTTCTTCCAGACAGGAGGTCCCCTGGTCACTTTACCTGTGGGGTATCAATCAGATTTTGAAGAATTTGGCACGTAATACAGCTGCCAATGAACTAATTTGTACCTAAAAGCTTATATTCATTCACAATGAGAAATACTGCTCACTAGCAGACATTTAAGCAGTCACCATTTTCTCTTCAAGTAGGCAATCCTACTTAGGAAACCAAATCAAGCTCAGCACACTGTTTAAATCAATTATTTGGGAACCTCACCTATTTGGAATATAGCTGAGAATTTAAAAGGCAACTACAAAAGAAAAGGACTGCTGAGTAGCCAAAATAGATGTCACAAAGTGAAAGTTAAAATATTCCTAGACTGTATAGCTGGAAGGGACTTCAGAAGCCATCTTGTCCAACCCCTCTCATTTTATAGATGGAGAAGTTGAGACCCCAAAAAAGTTAAGTGACTTGCCTAAGGTAAGCATTTAATTAGTGGCAGAAACAGGATTCAAACCTAGGTCCTCAGATTCAGGACCCATTGCTCACTCTTTGCATTATCATTGCTCAAAGCTGTAGTTTGGTTTGGTGCTAACTTTAAACACATTTAGAACAAAGCTCAGCTATGTTTGACTTCCCACCCCATGGCTCATAACAAAAACCAAATCTTAGGGGAGAAAGAGAGGAAAGGATATTGCTAGAGGCAAGGACACTGACCAAAGTAACAAGAAAGAAGTAATTGCAAGAAATAATGCATCAAATCTAATGGGGGGGGAAGATACAAACACAAGAATCCTGCAATTTTATCAGTAAAGGACCATTTAATGTAGAGGGTGGGCTATCTAGTCCATTATACATTCATAGCTCTTAGTATCACTGCATTGTACATTATTTTTTTAGGGATGGCTGCATCACTAGAAAAAAGGCTAAATATTTACTTTATTTAGGAAAGCAAAAGAGTATGTCTTCCAAATATTTCCAAACAAAAAGGTTAAAATTAAAAAGTTTTTGTACTTAAGGAGATAAGTTTCTGTATGAAAAATGTGGAAACACTCCTTCCTGACAAGGACACCTTCGGTAGAGTCCTACTGCCCATAGGGAAAAAGACAAACCTTCTTTTAAGGCATTCCATAACATGGTCCCAACATTCTCCTCCAGCCAGTTCCCATCACACTAACTATAATCCAGTCAAATCAGACTACTAGTTATTCTGCAATCACACCCTGCTCTCCCACCTCGGCTCATTCCCACAGATTCCCTCTTTAGCTCTACCTTTTAAAAATGCCTTCCTTTAAGGTTCTGCTCAAGCCCCACCTCCTTTCCTAACCCTTCTCTGATCCCTACAATTAAAAATATTCTCACCTTCTTCAAATTTCCCTTTGCCTGGTTCTCATCTTTGCCCAAGTGCATTCTACCTTGTATTATACTTACTTACATATGTCTGACCTAGTGGATTATAAGCTTCTTGAGGGCAATACCTATGTTGTTTTTCATCTCTGTCTTTGTCCCAAGTGTCTGGTATAGTGCCTTGCACTTGAGAGAAATGATTATTTCTCTCTTGTATTTAATAATTAATTATTGAATTATGACCGAGGTTTCCCCCTTTCTACTTCCTCATTCAGAAATCAGCCCTTGTGGATTACTCAGGCAGCCTTTGAAGTGCAGGGCTGATACTGAGAGGAAGAGAAATGTGTATGGCATACAGTAGGTGCTTAATAAACATTTATTGATTGGTTGTGATTCATTGACTAAAATTGGCACCAATGTTATTCCTATTTAAAGTCCCACATCCTTCTGATAGGCAGTTGGAGGGGCTCCCTTTTTGATGGGTTCAAAAGGTAAAGATTCCTGCCCATTGTGTTTTACTCAGACTGGGAAAAATGTAGATTCTCCCTTTTGTCAGACAGATGATACAGAGATCATTCTCTTTGACCAAAACTGAGTGATCAGAGTCATGTCCCCTAGCCCCTCATTATAATAAGCCTACCTCACATTATAATATTAATTCTTCTCATTACTTGTTAATCAATCAATAACCAATTGATTTCCATCCTCAGTTGTACCCTCCTTTCCAAATGCTTTTATAAGCATTGAAGGTTTCACAGGTCAGCTTTTTTCCATCATGGAAAGGAAAATGAAGCCTTTTTGTTAATCTACTTGCTAGCAGTGGTTGATAAAACTAATCGTAATTCACCCAGAAACTTTATCTCTCGAAAATTTTTACTCAAGACACACATAATAAATGTCTGATGAACTGAACTGTTTAATTTTTCCATCAATAGAGTCAGAGCAAGGAAACAACTACTGGGATAACCCTACTATGAGAGCCAAAGTAATTCTTATCAATGACAGCAACTGCCAGTTTAGACACTGGTTCCCTTAGTCATTTGCTACTGGAATCTCATTGTCAAAGTTTCCCTCCAATCTCCCTTTCTTCAGGATTCCAAAGTTCCCATTCACTTATTAGGACCGTATAATCAGTCATCATAAAAAAAAACCCACCAACCCCACATCAATCAATCAACAAGCATTTATTTAATACTTATTAGGTATGACATGCTACTACAAATACCAAAAATGGAAGAATCTCTACCAAGTAAATAACTTAAATGCTAATGAATATCAGTTGTTGATTTACAGCTAACAAAGTGCTTTCCTGATAAAGATTCAGGTTTACAGCAACAGGTGGTAGAAGCCTGGATACTTCAAGGAAAGATCTTCAGGAGGAATGGATTTCTCTTTGAACATCTGGTTGTGTTCTGTCAAAGAGGGAGTCCTTCTATCTGCCTATCAGAAGGATGTGGGATTTTAAATAGGAATAACTGTGCCAATTTTAGTCAATGAATCATAATAAATCAATTCATAAACATTTATTAAGCACCTACTATATGCCAGGCACAGTGCTAAGTGCTGGGGATATAAAAAGAGGCAAAAGACAGTTCCTGCCCTCAAGGAACTGACCATCTAATGGTGGAGATAATAAGCAAACAAATGTATACAAAGCAAGCTAAATATAGAATAAATAGGAAATAATTAACAGAGGAAAGGCACTAAAATTAAGAGGGGTTAGGAAAGGCTTTCTGTAAAAGATGGGATTTTAGTTGGGACTTAAAGGAAGCCAGGGAAGTCAGTAAGTGGAGTTGAGAAGGGAGAATGTTCCAGACATGGGAGATGAGCCGGAGAAAATCCCCTAGAACAGAGAGATGCAGTGTTCTCTTTGTGAAAACCAATGTCATTGGATCAAAGAGTACATGTAGGGGAAGTAAGATGGAAGAAAGCAGGAAAGATAAAAGGAGGCTAGGTTATGAAGAACTTTGAACGTCAAACAGAGCATTTTTCATTTGATTCTGGAGGCAATAGGGAGCCACTAGAGTTTATTGAGGAGGGGAGGATGACATTTTTGGAACCGCACTTCAGGAAAATCACTTTGGTGGCTAATGAAGGATGGATTGAAGAGGAGACACAAGGCAGGCTGACCCACCAGTAGGTTATTGCAGTAGTCCAGATGTGAGGTGTGGTTTGAACACAGGTCCCTCTTTACTCCAAATCATTGTGTCTTTCCATTACAGATAGTTCTTATGAAAAACCACTGGCTAAATAAAGAAAAAGGTGTTTATCAAAAAATCATAAATTCAGATACAATTTGCTGATTGTTAATGTTCTTTAGCTATATTATATGTTTGTGCAAACACATACTTCTTTCATTACAGAAGCAATCATTTCAAATCCCTGAGCTCCATACAGCAGAAAATAGTATGATCTACCAAAGGGTCACTTTAGTTCCAAATCTATCTTCAAACTACTGTTTGAATTTGGGGAAATCACATAATTCTTCCATTTTGCTTCAGTTTAACTACCAATAAAATAAAAGTTGTATTATTCACTGGTATTAGACCAAAATTAATGATTCTTAGGGTCTAAGATCTTCATGAGTGGCCTATGAGCATTGATTTCGTGAAATAAATTTGTCTGAAACAATGCCTTGCCTGGCGCTCATGGTAGTACTATTTGCCTTAAAAAGTGGGCTTACCATATGGAAAATAAGTGTAATAAGGTAAAAAGAAGGAGAATTTAATTTATAATATTATTCCTATGTAATTTCATTAACAATGAGATGAGAATTATAGAATGTTCATTTAGCATTCATTGTATGTTTTTAATAAACTACATATTATTTTAAAAATTAGTATCATGGATAAGAGGTTGACTTGTAATCAAGAAATAAAAGACAGAGATAAGCAGAAGTTTTTCTAGAAGGAAAGGACAAACAGTAAAACTAATTCTTGAACCCAGAGGATTTAAAGCTAGAAGGGATCTAGGAGATTATCAAGTTCCAGTCCCTTCATTTTGCTGAGGAAATATGGATACAAAGTGTTGAAGTGGCTTGCCCAAAATCACACAGGTAAAAGATAGCAAAGCTAGGTTTCAATCTCAGGTTACCTGACTCCAAAACCTCTATTTATCACACAATACTTTTTTCCAATGTTAGGTAACATTTACAAAAGTCTGTTGGAAGATGGAATACACCATGAAATCTCCAAGTTACAAAATGATGCTAAACTCCCCTGAGAATGAAAATCCAAGCTAATGGGGTTAAGCAATACAGAAAGAAGGCAAGATTGGGCCTATAAATGGCAACTAAGCCTGAATGTGGGTAGGTTTAAAGAGTCTCATTTAGGGAATACAAGAAACAGTATGAAATAGTGGATAGAGAGATTTGGCCTTGGAATCTGGAAGACTTGGCCTCAAATCAGCCTCTGACTTATTCTGGTTGTGTGACTTTAAATAAGTTATTTAACTTAACCTCTCCATGCCCTGGGCAAATCTCTGAGACCACAGGTTGCAGATCAGTTGGCTATCTGCACTGGCAGAGGACATTTCCTTACCAAAACCAATAGAATTACAAGTCAATCAATCAATCAACAGGTATTTAGTAAGCATTTACCATATTCCAGGCATTGTCCTCAGTATTGAGGGGCAGAGGGAGTGGTGGGAAAGGAAGAAATACAAAGATAAAACAATACATTGCTTGCCTTCAGGAAACTTAACATTCTGTTAAGGGAGACAACATGTTCATAAATCAATATAGACAAAATAAATACAAGGTAAGTGGGGATGGAAAATCAGAAAAAGGTTTCATGTGAATGGTGTCATAAGTAGGAATCTAAGGGATTCCAAGAGGCAGAGATGAGTTGGTATGAGGAATGGCTAATGACAAGCAACAGAGACAGAAGATGGAGGGCTCCGCATGAGGAAGAGCAAGAAGATCAATTTGGCTGGGTTATAGAGTACAAGAAGGGAAAGGAACAAGCATTTATTAAGCACTTATTATGAACCAAACACTGTGATAAGTAATTTATAGACACAATCTCATTTGACAGTAATATGTAAGTTTGGAGAAGTAGGTTGGGATCATATTGTGAAGGACTTTTACAGTGCCCCCATAAAAAGCTCTGTTTGTATTATAGATTTGAGATCTAGGAAAGGGAATTAAGCATAGTTTTTGACCATTCCCTGAATACATTGGTTTGATGTGTCACTAAGGCCAAAAAAAGCTAAAGGGATGAATATCATCAGAAAGGGTTTCACACACAACAGAAAATATTTTCTTCTTAATATAATTCAATTCAACAAACATTTATTAAGCACCCACTATGTGCCAGTTTCCCCACTGTATTAGGCAGTGGGGAAACAGATAAAAATGATACATTCCTCACCCTCAAGAAACTTATATTCTTGGTGGAAACAGACACAGAATAAATATGGAATAATTTCAGGTGGAGAGTACTATAGCTTCCTCCAGTATCAATTATTTGATAGTCACTCCAGTCAACAAGCATTTATTAGGCACCTATAATATGCTAGGCACTAGAGATAACAAAGAAAAAAAAGCAAGACAGTCCCTGCCCTCAAGGAACTTACTTCTCCTGAAGGGAAGTAATATATACCCAGATAAGTAAAAACAAACAATATATAAAATAAATACAAAGTAATTACTAGGTGGGAGCAACACTACCAAGTTGGGGGAGACAGAAAAGGTATCTTGTTAGGAGGTGGTATCTGAACTGAGCCTCAAAGGGAATTGAGAGTCCAAAGCAAAGGCAAAAGAAGAAAGCTATTGCAGAGTGAGGGACAGCCTCAAGTAACGTCACAACAAAGGAATATGTAACTTAAATTGAGAGTGGGGAGAAATGTAGAATTAACCTGGAGGGATAGATTTAGACTGGAGCCAGAATATGAAGGGCTGTAAGTGGTGAAAGAAGAATTTGTATTTTACCTTTGAGGCAATAGCCACAGAGCCTTCTAGCTTCTTGTGCTGGGAAATGGCACAGTCGCATCTATTCTTTAGGAATAGCAAATGAGTCACTGTGGGGAAGATGACTTAGTAAGAGGAGACTGAATACTGGAAATCCATTTGGATAAGGGGATATTGCAACAGCCCCATCAAGAGGTGATAAAGGCCTAAATTAGGTTGGCTGTGGTATGAAGGACAGAAGGATCCAGATGTGACAGATGTGGACAGGACAAATAAGAAAAGGATAACTCACAGCCTGAGGCATTTCCACATTCATAGAACTTCTCTTCAATAAGAACTGGAGAAATTATGGAGGTGCAAGGCCATGGTGCACCCACACCTATAACATAACATACCCTGCCAAGTCACTGCCCATCAAGAAAGACATAATGGAACTTAAAACTTAGACTCAGGAAGGTCTAGCTTTAAAGCAAGGAAAACTTTGGATCAAGTCCCACTTCTGACATATTGCATATTCTGATATATATAATTGGCTGTGTCATGCTGGGCAAGTCATGTAAACTCTCAGAGCTCTAGGAAACTCTTTAAGACTGTAAGTTGCAGAGAAGGTGCCAACCTACACTGGAAGAGGGAGTTTCCTTACCTGGGAGTTCCCCTATACCTATGAAATCACAGGTTCAGTTCCAATCCTTATCCTGCCATTGTAGTGTGGAGCTGCCCTCAGGTTCTCAAAGGTTATGCCAGCAGACTGTAAGTTCTAGCAAGTATAGAGTATAGAGTCTGAGTAAGAATCTATAGCTGATGTCTGAAGATCAGCTTAGCTAAGTAATGAACTCATTACCAGTAAGTTGTAGGTGGTATATTCTTCTGCCACAGAAATCCAATGGCCAATGAAAGGGTAATTTATATATATATGGTTTAATTATGAGTTCTTGATTATGAAATCAGATTACTTGGGGGACGTGCCTAACCAATTAATGTTAATGTCAGAAAGGACATTCCAAAACATATCCTTTGGTGCTCCTATTAGAGTGAAAATATTGAGTTCTATGGCCCCTGAGTGTGAGTCAATGTAGCATTTCATACATTCTCAAAATACTTTTTTAAAAACACTAGTACTTTGGCTACATTGGAGCAATTAAGTGATCTTATTATTATGTTTAATACATTTGCATAGCCCTTTCAAAGTTTACAAAGTGATTTCTTCACTGCAAGAAGCCTTGTGAGGCGGATAGTGCAAAGTGCTATTATTTCCATTTTATGAATGAAGCAGCTGAAGACAAAGAGGGTTAGCTTACTTGTCCATGGTTTCACAGCTATTAAGTGTTCAATCCAAAGGTCATAAATGAAATCTTCATTATGTCAGTCTTTGTTATGAAAGAAGGAGTAGCCAAAAGCTCAGAGCCATAGATATTCAAACTAAACCAGAGATAAAGATGAATATAAGCTGTATGATAATTTGGGAGAGGAAGTGGGGTAGGAAAGAATAAACTACAGTCTTGCATACTAGAGGCATGCAGATTTCTTTTTCCTTCACAGATTTACTGGACGTGTCCCACAGAAGACGTAGATTATTTCGAGATGGAATTCTATGAACTTGTTGTTTATGCTCCCAATAATGTCCAGACAGAACTTTGTGGACACATACGAGACATACAGCAACAGAATCTGGAACTACATAATCTAACTCCAGGCACAGAGTATCTATTTAAAGTCCGTGGGGTCAATGAAAATGGACCAGGAGAATGGAGCGATGTATGTAAGGTATTGTGAGCAATCTCTCTCCACTGGCTTTCTTTATCCAGCTCTTTTTCCTAAATGTGTCTTTGTGTGACACACTTGACCTGGTCCTGGGACAGGAAGAGGTCTGTACCTTCACCAGACTGAACAGGAGACCAGATAATTGTCCCCAAATGACTGGATTATCCCCATCTAAATGACTTCTAAGTGATTTTAAATATGATTCTCCCTTCAACCCTAAGCAACACATGCTGAATAGTAATAAAATATACAACATAAGAGTGAGAAAGAACTTCAAAGATTATCTTGTCCGACCTCTGCATTTTACATTTGAAGAAGGCAAGGTCTAAAGAAATTGACATGAAAATAAATATTACAATTATAAAGCCAAGAGAGACAGAATCTTCCTCCTGAATTATTTCAGATGTTTACAAAATTTACAGAATCTCTCCAGTTTGAAAGGGACATTGGAGACTAACTAGTCCAATTCATATCTAAATTTTCAGACACTTCTAATTGTTATGAAATCGGTCCTTTCCTCAAACTTTAATCTGTCTCTCTGTGGCTTCTACACAGTTCTGTCTTCTTGGTACCATGCATACTGAGTGTGATCCCACTTCATCATGACAGCCCTTTAAACACCTGAAGACAATTTAATGTCATCTCTTAAGTATTTTTCTTCTCCAAGCTTAAAATTCCCGGACTCTTCAATTTATTGATCCTTTCTAAGACCCTGTCCATCCTAATCACTCTCCTCTGGATATGCTCTAATTTGTCAATTAATCAATCAATAAATAAACATTAGGCACATACTATGTGCCAAGGACTATGCTAAGTGCTGGGGATGCAAAATGAGGCAAAAAATAGTCCCAGCCCTTAAGGACAATGTCCCTCCTAAAATGTTGTCCCAGGCCTGAACACAGTTCTCCAGATGTGGTATGATCAGGCATGAGTGCAACAAGGTTATCACCTTCCTCATCCTGAGCACTCTATGTCTCTCCTAATAGAGCTTAAGATGGTGGCACCTATTTTGGTTACCTTGTTGTTGTCATTCTGAATTTGTGTGCATTGACTAAAAAGGCCACAACTTTTCCCACAGATTCTTATCCAGACAAGACTTTCACCTCCCTGGACTTGTGAAGTTGCTGTTTAAACCCTAGAGTATGATTTTACATTTATTCCAACTGAATTTCATCTTAATAGATTCAACTCATTGTCAAATTCAGTTGATTCAACCCACTTGCTTTAAAAAAAATTAGAATTCTGTCATTCAAAGTGTTGACTATCATTCCCAGCTTTGTATCATCTAAAAATCTGATAGGCACGCACCTATACCTCAATCCAAGTTACTGATTAAAATGTCAAATAGCCGAGTAGTTAGGGCAGATCCCTGGTATCCTTCCTTAAAGATCTCCTTGAAAGTTGGCATCAACCTGTTAATGACTTCTCTTGGGATTCAATCATTCAACCATTTCTGAATCCACTTAACAGCACTAGAATTTAGGCTGTATATCTCTACCTTGTCCAGAAGGCTCTCCTGACAGACACTTTGCTAAAAATCCAGGTGTATTATATTTGCAACACTAGCTTGATCTTCCAATAAAGGTAGTTATTCTGTCGGAAAAGAAAATGATGTCCATCTGGCATAGTTTGTTTTTTTTTTTCTTGATGAAGTCATGCTAGTTCTTAGAGATCCCTTTTCTCTTCTAAGTGCTCACAAAGAAAAGCTTTCTTCTCATTTATTATAGAATTTTTTCAGGAATCAAAGTCAAGCTCACCAACGCTATGGTTTGTAGCCTCTACCCTTCCTCCATTTTGAAAATCAGGTCAATATCTGCCCTTTTTATTTTTAAGTCACATTCACCCACAGATCCCACTGCTAGACATATATATCCCCTCAATGAGGTCAAAGACAGAAAGATATATATACCAAAATGTTGAGAGCTGCACTTTTTTTGGTAGCAACAAAGAGCTGGGGGGAAAAAACAGATGGCCATAAAATGGAGAATGATTAAATGAAATATGGCACATGAATGTAATGGAATGTTACTGCACTTATACAGTAGAAAATGAGACAGCTTGGTGGTTCAGTGGATGTAATGCTGGGCCTGAAGTCAGGAAGACTCATCTTCCTGAATTCAAATCTGACTCAGACACTTAATAGTTGGCTATGTGATGCTAGGCAAGTCACTTAACCCCATTTGCCTCGGTTTCTCAGCTATAAAGTGACCTGGAGAAGGAAATGGCAAACTTAGTAACTCCAGTGTCTTTGCCAAGAAAATCCCAAATGGTGTCACAAACTGTCAGACACAACTGAAAATAACTGAACAACAGCAACAAAACAGTGGAAAAATCATTGGCTCAGGAATTAGAGGACCTAGGTTCAAATCACACTTCTGTTACTTATTACCTGTGTGACCTTTGACAAGTCGCTTAACTTCCCTGGTAGAATGAGATGAGTAACAACTCTTTCAGAGTGAGACATGGATGCGGCCAATGAAGGAATTTGTTTGTCTTGACTATACATGTTTGTAATAGGGGTGGGGTTTTTTCTTCTTTTTCAAAGGGAATGGAGTAGGAAAGAGAAAAAGCAGATGTTTTAATTGAGAAAAGGCTTAATAAAAAATGAGATTAAACTAAATCATCTCTGAGGTCCCTTCCATCTTTAGAATCATGATCCTATTGATCCAATAAATTTGATAAATGTGATTCGTTGAACTGATAAAGAGTAAAATGAGTAGAAGCAGGAAAACACAATAGACATGATGACTATAAGAATGTAAATGGAAAGAACAATACAATGAAACTAAATGTTATGTAACCATAATGACCAAGCTTGGCCCTAGAAAAGTATTGAGAAAATGCATTTTTTTGTTGCAAAGGGGGATGGGTTGCTATGTGTATGTAATATTGCATATGTCATCAGATAAGGTCAATGTGTTGGTTAGGTTTAGTAATAATAATAGTAATAATGTTGTTGATCAGTTAAGCCTGACTCGTGACCTCATTTGAGGTTTTCCTGGCAAAGATACTGGAATAAGCTGTCATTCCCTTCTCCAACTCAACAGGGTTAATTGACTTGTCCAGGGTCACACAGCTAGTAATTGTCTGAGGTCACATTTGAACTCAGGAAGATGAGTCTTTCTGACTCCAGGCCCAGCATTCTATCTACTGTACCACTTAGCTGTCCTTAATAGTAATAATAGCTAGCATTTACATAGCACTTGAAGGCTTGCAAAGTACTTTGCAAACACACATATCTCATTTTATCCCCACAACAATCCTGGGAAGTAGGTGCTATGACGACTTTGTGCAGCTCTGCCTCACTTCAATCCTACGCAAGTGATGACATCACTCTCATGTTATCATTGGTCCTCTTCAAAAATGAAGGACAAACAACAACAACAAATGAGAAAATTGAGGCACACAGGAGTTGTTCCTTGCTCAGAGTTTTACTTTTTTTCCCTTTCTTTTTTAAAATCTTTGTTATAAGGGATGGCTCACTGGGTAAGGAATGGAAGATGGAAATATTTTGAAAATAATGTCACATAAAAACAGAAGATAGCAATAAAAATATTTTAAAAGGAAAAAAGAGAAAGCACCACCAATAATCTTAAATCACATACAATTTACTAGCAAAGAGAAAATATTTGCCCTTCTCCAGTCCTGTATCTCTTCTCACTCTTCATGGTCTTTCAAAGATCAGTGCCTGCAGCTCAGTCATAAAATCATTCCGTTCATTCAGTAACTTGGGATGTAATTCAGCTGGGCCTGATGACTTGAAAACAGCTTATTGTGCTCTCTTACCATCTCCTCACAGCTTCCATTCCAACTCCTTGTTAACCATTTTTGTTCCACCATTCCCAATCCAGAAATCATTCTCCCTGGAAGAGAAAACCAAAGCAAAGGATTGAGTAGTTCTGCCCTCTATTGTCTAAGATCACCATCTCATCCTCCACAACCAGTATTCCTTTACCTTCTTTGAACTTACTCTAGTCTCCAAGATTACTAAATCTTAAAACCCTCTTTTGTTGTCCTTCATATTTGTCACTAGCCTCAACTCATTCTGCTTTTAAGTGCTTCTGACACTAATCTTCTAGAATTCTATGAAAACACTATCCTTTTCTATTTGACCTCTGCTATCTATCCTTGCTTCCATTTTCCATGCATGCATTTAAAAATCTCAGTTGGTCAAGATATCTTATTTCACTATATTTATTACCCATACTTTATGCATTATACATACACATCAGAGGCTATAGGTATGTTTTTTAATTCTGTCTACCTTCCTGAATACTGTCTTAGTTAATTACTTGTCCTTTCTACTCATATTCACCCTTTAATCATTATATTCATGTGATTTTGTACGATATCTGGCTTGGCAGGTATATATAGGCAGTTTTCACATCCCCCTCCCATATTTATTTTAATACCCCCTTGATTTGATTCACAAGATGCTTAACAAATGTGTTTTATTGCCTCTTGCCAGGTATATTCTATCTCTTCTGAAGAGCCCTTCATTCTGACGATTTAAGCTTTGCTCCAGACACCCAAATCCCATCCCCAATGACCTTTTCATCCCATTGTTTGCTTCCCAGATCTACCTTTCTCTTCTTAGTCTCTTATTTTCAATCAATAATAAGGTTAAAAAAGCCATCTGTTTTCCCCAGCATCTTCAGGTTTTTTCCCCAGAATATCAAAATATTTAATGATGCTTTCTATGTTCTTTCTGGTGGTATCTTTTATCCCAGTATGAGGTACCATAAATAGGTAGTGGTTATCAGGGTTGGCAATTCTTAACAAGTCTCTGACTTGCCTTGGAAATATGCCCCAGGAAGGCTGACAAAGTAGGACTTTGGAACAGGGTGTGCAATAAGTTGGGCCAATAAAACCAAACTCTGACTAAAACTTTAGTATTGAATTTTTAGATTACAATTGATAGAAGCTTTGTGCTCTATAAACTCATCCTATTATATGCTTTTGTCAATTTATCTTTTGTTACCTTTCACAATTTTGAAAAACAG